CTGACTACAGAGACAATCACTTTGGTGGGATGCCCACGTGGCTTGTTAGCAATGATTGTCTACACTGTTTGCATAACTTAGAAAATATCCAAGGGCTGCCCTATAATAACACGACTTTCACATTCCAATATGCTTTTTTGAGTGAGAAAGCCCCAGTTTTTCCCCCTAGGAATTGTCTGTAGCCTGTAGCTATCTATTCCAGCTACCCATGGACCTTTATGCAGCAGGGATCTATCTCAAAGGACTACCAGGCAGTAGGGTCCCCAAAATTGGGGCACAGAGTAACAATATGTGGGCATGTCTATGGGAGTGTATTACATCATTGTTCATAATGTCACAGTAGGCCAAAAAAATCCACCACAACCTCAGAGCTGCCACCGTACCCTACGACATACTCAGGTTTCCTCCATCTTATTAAAATAGCTGTTTTAAATTTTCTGAAAAACTGCTTAGATATAAAATAAAAATGCAACAAATAAATTCTAATTCATCTAAGCCTCTGTATAAGTCTGATTTCCAACAAGAAGCAGGCACTCTCAAAATAGGATAATTTAAGGAGGGTTTATTTACAAAGGGACCATTTACGAAGGTCCCAGTAGGCGACAGGAGACCCACAAAGGACAGTGCAGTAGCCAGGGGCTGCTAGCAATGGAGTTGTTACCATCTCTGAGCCCAAAGGGACAAGTGAATAAGAAACTACTGAAACCCAGGACAGAGTCATGTCTAGGAGGCCATCTTAAAAGAAGCAATGACCTTCAGAGAAGGAATACAAGCAGTTCAAGTTTTCCCCCCTAAGAGAAAACAGGGGGAATAAATACCCTGAGCTATCTCTATTCTCTCTTTTCCATGGAGTGTGATGTTCATCAAAGACCTCCTACTGACCAAATCCAAGGAATAAACACTGCTTAGTTCTCTTCTTATTTGATTTCTCTCCAGCATTTGACGTAACTGACTACTCCCCTCATCGTGAAAGCTTTTTCCTTTTGATTTCTGAGACACTATTCTTTTCTTGGTTTCTTCCTTCTCTGATTGCTCCTACTAGATTTCTTTTTCTTATCCTACTCCATAAGTAATGGTGTTCCACAGAGCTCTATTATCTAACTATCCCTTCTCCTTGGGTGATCTCATTAATTTCTCCATCACCACTACCACCTTGTTTTCAATTTTCCCCCTATACCCATTACTGTTGGTCTTAGTTTGGGTTTCCTCAGAAGCAGAACCTGAGACAAAGGTTTGAATGCAAGCAGTTTATTTTGGGGTGATGCCAGGAAATATCATTAGGGGATCAGGTAAGTAAAACAGGGCAAAGAAGAGACTTAATGAAGTGAGTATTATCAAGCAAAGATGCCCCACTGGGCGAAAGAGCTTAGTCTTACTAGGAAGCTCCAGGAAAAGGTATAAAACACACTCCAGAATTATTCCAGTCAAGGAGCAAATGAGCTGGAGTATTTACACACAACCTCTAAGAATCATTGCATCAAGGCTACACCCAGGGGGCATTAATTCCTTAGCACTTCCAGCCTGCCATGAACACAGGTAAAGCAGCCACTAAGGACAGTTACTGGCCATGGAGAGATGGGCCAAGATGTACTGAAACGGTAAAGTGCAAAGCAATATGGGTTGCACACTGACAGCATTTATTTGCTACATTTCTAAATTTCTATTTCTAGTCCAGATCTCTTCATTTTGCCTCATATTCATATATCCACCTACTCAGACCTCTATTATAGGACAGGAATCTTGCATCTCCCACTCTCACTCCCACCCTCACCTGTTTTTTCCTGATTCCAGAGATTGGCATCACCTTCCACTAGCACCCAAAACAAGATATCTAACAGTCATTTATGACATTCCAATTGGCTGCTATGTCTTATGGAACCAACCACTGAATCCTCCAAAATCCTCTCAATGGCCCCTCCATTACCTCAAGATTCTAAGTCTTTAGTTGAGCACAGTGATCTGTTTGCTCTCTTCATTTCCAGCTGCATCACACTTTCACTTCTCTCAATACACTGTATGTGCCTACACAGACACACGTACTCATAGTTCTCTGCACATGAGAAAGTCCAGTCTTTGCATATGTTTCCTTCTGCTATATCTGTCCTTCTTCACATTACCTGTCTGCTCAACTCCTACTCATGTCAAACATCACTTTCTTTGCCGTATTTTTCCAGACCTCCCAGGAAGGCAGGCATCTCTTGGGCTATGCTTCTGCAGCACTAACAATTACAGGACAATAATCACACACCTACTGTGTTAATAATAAAAGTACCCATGGGAATAGTTTAAGTTCTTTACTTAAAAATCAGAACATGCCAGAACTGATGCAAAAAGACATATACCTGATGGACAAGCATAAAAGTGTTCACGATAATGTTCAACATTAGCTATGAAGACCAAAGACCCTCTTTTAAGAGGTTCTTTCTTCAGTCAAAAGCTCTCTTCTTGAGTCATGAACAGACTCAGTTCCAAGAGTCCACCATGATGGCTCAAATAAGGTTTTTTTACACTAAAACTAGATTTTTTATTATTATTCAGATGAACAAGTATTTCAGTGGACTGCTTAGCTACATGGGTCATGGAACATTTTACCATCGATAAACATAATCTAATCTGATTAAACCTTTCAGCCCCTTAAGGTTGCTGTGCTGCTACCTGATACCTATCACTCTAGGATCCCTGCATCCTTATGAGACTAAGGATTCCAGTTCAAGTTTAGCATTTCTTATATTCACCCACAGCCTAGAGAGGACAATCACTAGAGCACTTTTCAAAAATGCTGACACTATGTTCCCAATGTATTTCTCAGTGCTATGACAAACGGAGGGTCCTCTGGTCTTTCACAGAGGAAAATAGTCATCAGGATGGAGAACAGGTTATACATGATGAATCCATTCCTATATGCCAATTTTCAAACTTCAAATTTCTTTTCTTTCTTTATAGTATACGAAGAAATTTCTAGCCTACCTCATTTAATGTCTGTCACTGTTGAGTTCAGATTTCTATCAACCAACTGAGAAAACTCTTAGAAATACTCTCAGCTGCTCAAACGAACACAATTAATTAAAAAATTTGGTAAGAGAACCTATGTCAAAAAATTCAGCCTGATTTAAAATTATACACCTCACTCTCTGAGCTCGCACCTCTGGAATCCATTCCCACATATATTCCTCAAGTCTTTTTTACATAAATTAGCAAGACCTTGCAATTTTATTCTCCCATATTTAACTTTGCAGTTGGTTCCCTAGGATATACTAGAATGTGAAACTAATTTTCTAGAGACATTGAGGAAAATGGTCAAATAACTATCTCTGGTGAGGTCATCAAACAGTCTTCAAAGCAAGGCAGGAATAGTTTCATCTCAGAGAGGATGATTCTACTAGCAAGAAAAATCTAATGGAGTTTGGGAATTCAATATTACGTTGTCTAAATTCTCCCAAAAGTTACCATTCCGATTTTAAGGTTCTTTTATTTTGATATCAATGTTCCCGTGTACATATAAGACCTGGCAAGGCTGTAAATTTCACCTGCAATGCAGTTTACCAATTTGCAGGTTCAGACCTGTGTCTTATTTTCAATTATGCCAGCCCTCTGACAAGAAGTAAGAGATCCTTGTAGATTAGTTATAGAAACTCCCTGGATTTTTTGTCATGTCTTGAGCTGTGAATTTAAACTCCTGAGCTATCATTTTCTCTCTGTAAGCCCTCCATCACAGCTAGAAAAAGCCAACCCAGATTGAACAATAAATTATCTTGATACTTCATGTACCTGCAGCCTAGCACAGCAGCTATTTATACCACCGACGGACACTCAAAGCAACCACAATGAAAATTTCTTTATGGAATGCAATGGGCTATCAGCTTCCCTTACTCTAATGCTAATAAAGTCCCTTCTGGTTTTAAGCTAAAGAGAGTCAGATAATCAGTCCAAGATTCCCAATTTCTTGAGGGTGTGTTCCCTGCAATCATCTTTATGTACTTAAATTAAGATTCTTAGTAGCATACTTAAGAATCTACTCTAGCTATTAAAACAGAAAGGAATTCACTATAGACTATTAGAAGCTTACTGAATTCTGAGACAGCTACAATCTACATTCACAGCGAAGAACAATGCAGCCAAAAGAAATGTCCAACGTGAGACTGTTTTATCAGAAATCCAACAATCATTATCACTCATACTTGGCATCAAAGATGAGATGAGGCTATAAAACCATCACCACAGCTGCCCAGACGATCCAATTTCTCTGTGCACGACACCCTACCCCACATTGTTCTCAACTGCTTTCTAAGTTTTGTGCACGGTATCTTAATAGAACCTAGGTCATGGGTGAGATCCTAGTTAGGAAAATGCAATAGTTTTTAAACATAAGATCTCTTTAACACAGAAGTCATATTAGAGAAGCTTTGGTGAGGATGCAGAGTGAGCCATTGTTCAGTTATCTTCCAAGAACTGAAAAGGATTATATAAGATCAGTGGTGGCTCCAAAATTATATTAAAGAAGAGTTTATGGGACACTATCTCATTGGAAAGGGGCTTGGAGTGGTATGTGCATAGCAAGCACACTGTTTTTACTTAATTTGGTTGTTTAATTCAAGTGGCACCTATGAAAGCTGATGGAGGTCTAAATCAGACAAATGAGACAAGCTTTGGCACCACAACCAAATGGAAAAGGTAAGATACTGCCAAGACTATCATTACTCCTTCACAGATTGAACTGCGCCACCTATGAATAGCAAAGTAAGTGATGAGGACGCCCTTGAATAAAGTGTTCTACCATATTGACAGCAGTCTTCCCTAAACAGTTCTGTGAAAGAGGGGAAAAGGACTATTTTTAAAAATAAAATTGGGACATAATTTCTGAAAAATGCTAACTATGTTATATTTTAAATTCTGAACTTCCAGATAACCTTATAGTATTTCTCTATTTGTCACGTGCAAACTGGCACAGGCAAGGAGGACCAAATGTGTTTTCCCTTCTCTATATTGCATCGTTCTTTTTTGGGGGTCTCCTTAACTTGCTATATTCTTTTGCTTTCAAGAACTTTGGGGCAGCAATAACACTGACCTCTGTGGGATTCCTGAGATACCTTTTTCATTGCTCCAAGTCTATCTAAGAAGGCCAGTGGATGCTCCAAGATGTAGTCTTTGCATGCATTTGTTTTAAAAAAAATCAAGTTTTTTGGTGAAAACCTTATATTGCAAGTCAAACAGCAAAGAATACAAACAGCTGCTTTCAGGGCCTATTGTGGACTTCGTGTGGGAGAGGGACCTGTGCTGTTAAACATAAATCTTGCATATCTGTTGGCTTCTCAGTTCATAGCATTCGGCTCCCTGGCTCCTGAGCAGCTCCTTCTCTTCTGCTACATCTCGAGCTTTCATCTGAGGGAAGTGGGCCGGAGAGGCGAAGAAATTGTAGTGCCGGTCCAGATACCGCAGGTAGATAAGCATGTGCAGGGCGTACGCCAACACCAGCAGCAGGATCAGAGACATTGCCAGGCCAATCAGAATTGCTGGCGAGAAGGAAGAGGCACAGTCTCGAGCTCTGGCAAATTGTTCCCCCTTGATGGTAAAGCCTTGGATCTGTCAGGAGAAAGGAAAGAGCTGAAGTGATAAATTCTTTCCTCCTAAGACCTACTTCCCAGTTGGGCTAGGGGTCCTGGACCCCTAATTAGTCAAATTTAAATACTGTGGCCATATTTTCTGAATAATTTAAACACATTATCTAACAAATATGACTACGTTTTGGAGGAGAGTGAAATTTAATTTTAAATCAAGACTGACCCAGAAACTCTGGGATAGATGGTTGTTATAATTAAGAAGCCAGTAAAGTTTTCAAGGCTCTGAAATAAAACCTCTTTTAATCTGAATCTTGGTTCATCTAAAACCACAATGTCTGGTGTCTCCAAAATTTTATAAGTGTTAATAAAAATTTCACAAAGAATATTAAGTCTCGGTTCCTCTGCCTTTGATTCTGTTGACAGGAAGTAGGTAGGAAGAGTCTTTTAAGAGAAGAAGATATCATGATTCCCAATGACATAAAATATAAATAACAAAAGCTAACACTTAATAAAGATTTTTTATCTACTAGACACTGCTTTAACTTGTTTAATACTCACAAGAGCCTTTGAATAAGTTACTACTGTATTCCAATTTATGGATGAGGAAACCGAGACAGAAAAGTTAAGTAATTTGCCCAGAGTCACACAGTATTAAGTGCAGTGAAGCTGTAATTCAAACTGGGGCAGTTTGCCTTTAGAGTCACTTTTCAGTACAACTCCATTAACTCTTGGTAATTGTGTCTTTTCTTCCTCCAGTCACTAACCTCTTTATTGGCTGTACCATGCAGACTTAGTACTGCTTTTGGAAGAGCTATATACCCCTTGCAATCTGCCCAGAGAACAGAAAGAAAAGCTCTCTCATATGTGCAAATGAAGTGGTTTAATTACTTGGAACTAGGGGAAGTTCAAATCGACAACTGGCCCCAATATCGAAATACTATCACAATGGAAGAAACAGGGGCTACAGAGTAAAGACTCTAAATGAGATCAATCATTTGTGGGAGGCAGCTCCCACGTTCAGCTGACTTTTAGAATATAATACTATATAGCATCACCTCGGTCACCTAGCTGCTTTTAGAAGGGTGCATCAGAAAATTGAATTATCCATGAGTGCTTTACCAAGAATTCATTTTTATGACTTAAGTGGGAACTCCAGCATTCTTCCACGCATAAGTGATTGCAGCCACCCATCATACCATAGACCTTAAGAGTCTTGCCCACCCAACTATCTGCGCTCTAGACTGAACCAAACAACTCCTGAAGGGGACTCCTGGTGTGGCTTCTGGGATAGTTGGCCTGCTCAGTCTAAAAAGAGGCAAAGTGGCCTTCTCGACGACAAACTCCTCAAAGACAAAAATGGCCTCATCTGATGCTGCAATTCCAGCCAAAGTGAATGTCCTCATGTTGACTGCCACTTAATTCTTAAGACTTGATTGAGAACAGTATCTGTGGAGAATACCTGAGAGATATGCTGTCTACCCATGTTCTGGACTAGAGGTTGCAAGCACTCTGTTATCTTCCCCACAGGTAAGTTTTATTTGGCCCAGATTTCTAAATATCCTGAAAATTTCCTCCAAGAATCCAGATTCCTATCTTCAATTGGAAAGTCAAAAGATCCAGCAATACTGGGCCTGCATTCCTACAAAGCAAAAATATACTCCATGCGATGCCAACTACAACTTTGCCACAGTCCCCAGCTGGCCCACCTGAGGCATCTGAGTTTTATCAGAGGCATCTGAGTTTGCCATGCATGTGACATCACTCTATACTTTATTCCTAGATTAAGCCAAATCAGCGAAGCTGCATACGTGGAATGTAGCCTTTTGTATATATGCCTTAACCTCCATCACCACCACCACTTCTTCCCTGGGCGGGGCTTGCATTCTGCATCTGCCCACATGAAGGGTGTTTTACAAGGTCCACCTCTGACACCCAGTGCTCTGTCCACCATGAGGCTGCTGTTGAGGATGCTGCACCAAGGATGTATGTGCTCCTCACAAGCACATTTCAGGTAGTCTTGTGAATCCCATGAATATGTAGCTGGTGATTTTTTCTTATGCTGGCTGTTCAAAAGCTTCAGAGCCAAATTACTGTGCTGCTTCTAGCCAGGGCAGACAGATGGTCTTGTGGTTTTGTGTACCAACTTCACCAGTAGCTCTAACCGATCTTTTCTTCCTCTGTTTTTCTTAACACCATGTCAATTTTTTTTGTTTTGTTTTACATTTTTCATTGTAAAATACACATAACATAAAATCTACCATCTTAACCATATTTAGGTGTACAGTCCAGTGGCATTAAGTACATTCACATCATTGTGTAACCGTCAGCACCATCATTCTCCAGAATTGTTTTCATCTTGCAAAACTGAAACTCTGTCTCCATTAAACACTAACTCTCTGTTCCCTACTTCCCCCAGCCCACAGCAACCACCATTCTACTTTCTGTCTTCAAATGTGACTACTCTAGTACTTCATAAGCAGAATTATATAAATATTTGTTCTTTTGTGTGTGGTTTATTTCACATAGAATATCCTCAAGGTTCATTCATGTTGTTGGATGTATCCGAAGTTCCTCCCTTTTTAAGGCTAAATAAATAGTCCATTACATGTATATGTTAGATTTTGTTTTCCATTCATCCACTGATGGACATTTGGGTTATGTCCATCTTTTGGCTATTGTCAATAATGCTGCTATGAACACAGGTACACAAATATCCATTCAAGTACCTGTTTTCAATTCTTTCAGATATATACTCCCAAATGGAATTGCTGGATCACACAGTAATTCTATGTTTAACTTTCTGAGGAACCGCCATACTGTTTTCCATAGTGGCTACACCATTTTACATTCCCATCAACAATGTACAAGGGTTCTAATTTTTCTACATCTTTGCCAACAGTTGTTATTTTTGGTTTGGGGTTTTTTTGTTGTTTTTTTTAGTAACCATCATCCTAATGGGTGTGAAATGGTTTACTTATTTTGCAAAATTATTCTTCTTGAAGTATTTCTACATGTCATAGTAATACATGTCATTCCTGGAACAAGGTGGAGGTATAAATCAGTCAATTCATCTGTTCTAATCAGGTAAGATTATCTGTGAATTATTCCTTCCTTTCATTATTACCTCCTCATTGTCCTTTCTGCCTACTTCTCTTTTTAAAGGGCAAGAGAGAGAAACAGATATAATACATACTTTATAAATATTATATGAATATATATACATTACATATATTGTAAAGTGTCTTTGGAGCCAGACAGTCCATAATTCAAATTCTGCCTCTGCCTCTTTACCAGTTATATCACTGAGCAATTATGTAATCATTAGAGTTTCAGTCATCTCATTTGCAAAACAGGGATAATAGCAGTTATCCTGCAGCATTATGGTAAGTTTTGAAGACAAAGTATGTAAAATAACTACAACAGTGTTGACCCACAAAGAGGACTCGTAAGTATTAGTTACTGTTAATCCATGCCTGACACAATCCTGGGTGTTGCCACATATATTAGGCCATGAATTCTTTACATTTGTAAAGACAGGTCAGAAACTGAGAGGGTGAAGTAATTTGCCCAAGTGGCTGAGAACTAATTCAAAACTATGTCTTTCTAACTCCAAAATGCAAAATTTTTCCCTACCCCAAATTACCCCACCACACTTCTCCAAGCTGAGGGGAGGGGGAGTAAATATGTATTTGTATATGGAAAAGATCAGGAAGTGCCCATAAAAGGGACAGGCAAAACCCTGCCTATTTCAGTGAGTCAGAAGTACAAGTTAAGCTTTTTTCACAGTAAACAGAATAAAGGAAATTGACAAATGTCTCTTAGCCTAAGATTCTGGAGGTGCAAAGGAATCTCTTATGCCTTCATGCGTTTCCCCAAATAACTTCAAGAGGATCTTTGGGATATTTTTGACTCCCTGGCTGACAGTTCCAATCCTATGCTAAAC